CATACAATTGGCAGGTTACATTCATCAAGCTGTAAACCCCATTTACAATTTCCTCGATCCACCGACCGGAGCATTTACTAAAACTATCGAACGAAGTAATTACCCCGCTAAAAATGAAACAGAAGGCATTGTAGAACCATCAAGGGAATGTTTCGATGGCATATGCCATGAATGCATTTGGGCAAGAAGCTTAAATGGCCGTCAACCATTCGATCCGTTATGGAAGATACTGCAACAATTTCTTCTGTGACTTCTACATCAGATTAGAATAAATTAATGATTGAAATCATAAAGCTGCATAAACAATTTGGTGCGTTTTACAGATTTCAATCTGTGTACAATTCGGTGTGGGCTACAATGGAAGATTATTACAAAACAGCTAATAACCGTATTAAACTTGTATTAACAAAGCGCCTAGTTACTTCAACCACCGCACTGCACTGCACTTGGCGGAATCTTTGAATTCACTGACTTAGTCGTACAGTGAATTTCTGGCCTATTTAATGGTTATGTGTAACTCTTTATAGTCTAATAAAGTTCATTTTTAAACAAGTCTTCTTATAGCAACTCCTACGCCCTGCACTCCTTCTGCACCAATCAGTTGGCATTGTAGGGGCTATACGGATGTTACACAAAGTCTCGATCTCAGATGCGACTTTCCAAGGAATGAGAAAATTTTTTCTAGACCTGATTTAATTTATTTAACGTCTAGTATAACTAAGCTTGCCGGAACATAGAATAAATGGACTAGTCAAGCGATCAGTAAAACATGGCTTAAAGACTGCAAACTTAAACAACAATCAAGCCGGATTAGCGACAGAGCAATGATAAAATAGGCTCAAATTAAGACAGGAATCTTGTTAATCTTAATTAGCAACTATACGTACACCCTCTACTATATCAGCAACGAAACCTACCCACCTATCGTCCTGCTATGTGAAGGCGTCGAAGTGGTATGGGATCCCATTTCGGTAGGTTAAGGTGGTGGTGCTGCCTGCTACTTGCCAATGATATCATTCCTCACAAAGTGTTCCACTATCCTGAATCCGTTGCACTGGATGAAGGTCGGGGAGACATTGGCA